TGTCTAAATAATAATAATAATAATAATAATACAGCGAGGAAAAATGCTTTTGAAGGTTGGTTATAGTTTTGTTTCATGTTTGTTATAATTTAAGAAATACATTTAGATTTAAGAAAATAAAGATTGATATATCTGACTTTATCTGGATTTTTTGTTTTTATTTAAGTGGACAACGAAGCCAGCCATAAGCACTAGTACAGAACAGACCAAACCATAGTCAAGACTTTTCCCAAATTAGGAGATTATGAGTTTTTATTGTGGTTCAGGTGCTTTTCTTTAAGAAAATAATAATAAGCAAACTGTTGAACGTTAGCGGTGAATCTCCATTACGTCATCTCTGGCACTAACTACCAGAGCGCGTGGCATCACCGAACACTCAACGGTAACGGTTGGAACGGCCGATAACGGTTGATAACGGCTGATAACGGCAGGTAACGGCAGGTAACGGCTGGATTTCACCGTCAGCGGTCACTAAGACAGAAACAGCGAAGTCTCTTCTAAAAGAAACAAAAACAGCAAACAAGAGAAAATGTGACCAGGAGGCCTTTCCAGTTTTGTCGGCTTTGAGTTTTGGTAAGTTTTGCTAAGGGCAGAAAATATAATGTCAAGTTAACCCGGTAAGATATTTACCAAACTAACGTTAATAGCAAAATGTCTGAGAGTTTGCTAACGGTTATCACAATATCAATGCTAGCAGTAGGTTGACCTCTATCAACCAACGCTAACCTTGTAACTGGAAGCAATTTCATACCTATTACACCAAAGTATGTTAACTGACTTTTATTTTACTTAATTTTACACAAGTTTTTTTTTTTTTTGTAATACTTTTTCAACGGTATTAATACATAACGTCAAGTTTAACGGTTGGTGAACGTTAGCCAGCCAATAAACGTTGACGTTACGTAACTGTTAGTGTTTCAACTGCTGGTACTGTTAGACAATGGCACTGGTTCCCAACCTTTTTAACTACTTAACGTTACTTAAAGCACCTTTTTGTTTTGTTACTGATAACCGCTGATAACGTGAGGGATAATGTCCGACCAGGTGTCCAATTAATGGACAACTTTCAGGCCAGAACCGTCCGACGAGCAGCGGTTGCCTCTGGAAGTCCCCTAACGTTAATTAATTCCCAATTATGGACACATCTGAGGGCATTATCCCGCCTATAGCATGGTCACTTGACAAAGAAAACGAAAATGTGATCTTTATTTTATATTTTCACGCATTTTTTAATTAATATCTAAAAAAAAATAAAAATGTAACTTAAGAGCAAACTGAACAGAACAACTGATGAACTGTACAATTAACCTAACAGTTAACCCAAAAAAGTAAAACAAACACATTTTTAGGAACTTTTTATACAATTATCTGTCTGTATTATGTATTTTGTCATTTTCCATTAGTATTTCTAACATACACATGTACTTAATAGGGTTCTTTTTTGACAGATTCGGTGTTTCTTCTCATTGCTCTATTAGGTATTTGTAATTTTTCTAATGCAGGACGAGGCTGTGTGAAGTTTGTGTGCAGGTCTTCAAAGTTTAGATCTTAAATGTGTATATTGTTCAAGTTTTTCTTACGCCCCTTATATTTAAGAAGGCCTTGCAACGCCCTGTGGATCTCAGGCGACCCTGCGGTTCGGTACCACTGATTTGGGTCCCACCCCACACATCTATAGTTATATATGTATATAGTAGTCAGTGTTACTATAAGGTTATACTTTATTTCCATCCTGAATGTCAGCTTGATTAAAAACTGCCACATTTTAACGATAAAACCCTAATTTATCAGCTTACTGATATTACCACCTCTACATCATAGAAGTCACTGTGTGTATTTTGCTATAAACTACAGGAAAAAAGTACACAAGGTTCCAATAACTGTGACTGTTTTTGTATTTAATTAATCCAGAGAGAATAATCAAAAGAAAAGAGTTTTAAAACCACAAAGGGTGGTTTGCCTGAGCTCTTCATGATGGATGCCCATGATCCAAAGGCAAAGATGCATGAATGTCAGGTAAATGGATTTAACACCTTTACACAAAGGTTTGCAGAATACAAGTAAACAAAGTCAGTTGTATTTGTGTAAATATGGTACAGCATTTTTATGTGTGCAAGTAAATGTACGACAGTTTACAACCTTTGTCTTCCTCAGGCTAAATACAAGCAGGCAAGAGAAGAGCGAAAGAATCTCCTCGGCCCCACACACAAGTACATGATTGACATCCTGGCTGACAAGCTGTCCCTGGAGCCAACAGCAGTCGAGGAATTTATTTTAGATTCTTCATCTGTGAGTTGTTACTGTCATTGGCTTTTCCCTTTTCATTTGACAATCAATGCACAGAATATTCTATAAGAGAGGTAAATTATTATTCCAGTGGTTTTGGACGGTTTGGTCTTCCAATGCGGCCACAATTTCTTTTTTTTCTCAGAGACCTGGAACAAAAGCATTGACATGAAGAAATCCTTTTTGCATTTGTCAAAATATGTGGCAGTTGTACCTTCTCATTTTACTTTCCAGATATCATTACACACATGCTTCCAGCAGTTCCAAAAATAAGTTTGTTGAAATAGAAAAAGGCACTGCGTACATTTTTATTTGCCAGAGTTCACATTTAGGTTTCACTCTGACAAGGCATGTTTGATGGCAAAGGTTTATGTTGTTGCAAGTTTTCATAAATGTTTCTTTTAAGATGACAGGAATATTGTGTTTTTGGTCTTTCATGCTTCTGTTACCATGTCATTAGTGTTAAAAAAGTTTATAATTTCTGTCCTCATTTTCATGCTGCATAGTTGGCCGCTTTTGATGATTTCTTCGCCAAAGGAGGTTGTAAATCCATTTCTTTTGTGTACCAAGAGTCGGAAGTCCCAGGAATAGGTAGGCATATATCTAGAAAGACTTATATTTTCAGCATTCCTCATTTATCTGTCATTATTCTGTCCCTATTCTAGTACTAGATGCTGTCTAATATTGGTTTAAAATAGGATCTAGGTCTGGGATTACACTATATAATTTTGATAAAACTGAAATATCAGAAATCTAACAGAAAAATTTTAATATCACAGAAACCTGAATAATTGTTCCATTGATTTTCTTGACTTGATGTCTGTAATAGAGTATAAAAAAAGCCAAGTTGGAATAACCTTTAACTAACAATAATGATAGCATTATTTACAAAGCGGACAGTTGTATTCTTAAGAGAAAACCCACGGGTCTGGCATTCTAGTTACTGTATAGGACTGATAGGATGGATAGATGAAAGTATAAATTAGTCTTTACTTTGTCTTCTAAACTTAAAAGAATGTATTTGTCATACTGGTAAATGTTCAAACTTAAGTACGCAGCGTCAATATCGGCAGTGAATAATTGAATAAATGTCAGTTCCACTTTTTCATCATCAAAATCAATTTGATTTGATTTCAGAGTGTGGACGCTCATACACAGGGACTGCCAAAGGAGAAAAAATACTGAGGCTGCTGTTAGCCAGTTTATCTTATGCTACATGCCCTTCAAGTGTTTGCTGCTCTTTCTCACGGACAAGTGTGGACATTCCTGTGAATTCAGAAAACATCCACGAGGTAAGACTGTCGTGTATGTGAAACGTGTTTCTGTAAGTGTAATTCTTTTCCCCTAGAATTATTGTATTTTAAGTGCTGTGCTGTGATTATTACATAATAAGCCATATTTGTACCACTTCTTTGTAAGATTAACATCATAATTAATCATTCTACGCTAAGTTGCAATATGTAAGAATAAAAACATTTCATTTGTAAGTAGTTTGTCCTGTAGATATATATCTGTACAAAAAAATAGAGACTAATAAATCATTAATTGACTAACTAGCACTAAGCTAGTTTTAACTATATTCCCCTTTGAATTTGATTAAGCTATGGATGCTCTTGTCTTGATGATTGTAGGAGATCTTCTTTTCAATGGTTGATACCAGAGATGGTCTCCTGAAAGGAACAAAGAATGCTGCCAACTTTGCGATGCTACCTGCTCTTGATGTAGGCCAAAACGGGAGTGTGTTAGATAAGTGTAGGCATGGTGGAAAATTTAAAAAGAACTTCAAGTACGCCACAAACCGTTGTCTTAACTCCTTAGACAGTAAGTCATTTTAAAGGTTGTCAGTTGTATAAATATCAGGCATTATAACTGTAACATGTCTTCACCATTTTGTTTGACAAATTAAACAAAGA